TCCCCAGTGCTGAGATTCTTCAGCAACCCTAATAAATGGTCATCTCTGGTGCCTTACTGTCTGGGAGATTCCAAGGGAGAGTCTCATCCCAAGTTGTTTACAACCCTAAGGTCAGAGAGCATTGTTACTCATCCTCAGCCAGTCAGGAACTGGTAGGGTAGGGTAACCCCACGTGGGTCTCGAATGCCCACGAAACTTTCAACCAATGAACGACCATAGTTCCTCCAGGTAAAACAGGCAGCACAGAGCTCCTCCGGAACGGAGGTTGCCAGCATGTAACCAAAGGATCCACCCAAGGTTAGCCTAGCAGCAAGCCTGATCAACAAGTGAACTACGGTCAGAACTGTGGACAGCTGAATATCAGTATTCAGAACTAGCGCTACATCAGGAACGAACCAATCTTCTTCCTGTGTAAAGAGTGTGACCTGCTTGGACGCGCAGTCACTTTTCTCATGTGCAGAAACTCTGCTAGTAAAGCCAGAACTAACACCCGGTCTTCAGAGAGCCTACTACCAGCGTCGCAGCAGGAATCTCTCCCATTTCCCTCACGCCGAACCAACACTGCCTGGCACCGGGCCAGAGAACGCCGATTGGACACAGCAACAGCCTGCCACTGTTCTTTTGTGTCCGCAGGAGATCTGAATCCACACAGATAGAATGAGTATTCAACATTCTGCATTACAGCTTGAGAATTCAATTGTTACCTCAACGCCTGTTGATATCAATTTAATTCCTATGAGTGATGTACTTGCTTTTGAGTATCTAGTGTAGAAGTTGTAATCCAAGTTCATTTACGAAAGGGCCTAAATGAATGGTATACTGAATGTATGTCCCTCTTGGTTTGTAACTCTTCGTGATTTAATATTTACCTTTTGTATTCTGCTAACCCTCACTGATAAGGTATGTTATTTTTCTGCACATTTTATGTATTAATAAATGTATTCTCGTGTATTAGTATCCATGTGTTTGCGTTGCTGTTATCCCGCAAGGTCGGTTTTCTAATACCCATCAAAGAATCATTTTGTGACTTACTGCTACAATAATAATTGTCCCAGTAAATGCACAAAACCCCTACATTTATTGGTGAATCGTGAGAGGATGCCTACAGGTGACAGGGCCTTCTCCTGTTATGCCCCCAAGCGCAGGAACTCTCTCCCCAAGGATATCAGAGAGTCACCTTCTCTAAACTCCTTCAAATCCAGACTCAAAACCCTCTTCTTCAGAAAAGCCTTTACTTAACTGGTTCCATTCTTCAACCCTTTGCTTTTCTTAGTACCACCATCCACGGTCTCCTCTATATATTGTAATTGTGTTCTATCTTGTGTATTCTTCTTATTTATTGTTGTTGTCATCCTGTAAAGTGCTTTGAGAAGCCACCTTTAAAGGTGCTATATAAAATAAAGTTTATTAAATTATTATTATTATATCTCAATATAAAACACCTGCGGGGGATCACTGTGTAAGTATTTTTTATTTTAACAATAAGTGTAAATGCTCGGCTATGAAAGTTTTCTCTCTATAAGGAGAAAGTTGTGCCTTAACTGAACAGTGAGGTTCCACAACAACTGTGGAGGCATCTGACATAGCTGCTCCTTTTAAGAGGAGCAGCTGCTGGCAATTATTTTTTTATTGCATGCCCATCTGGCTGTCAGGGAGGTTAGCCACATTGCTTGTCTTTGTGGGCCCTCTAGCGGTGACTGGTTGAGTTTTGGATGGAAAAGATCTCTGCTATGCCACATATCCTTTCTCCCCGAACTCAAACAAGTTGTCTTTAAGCAGCCTGACAGTGGACTCTGGAGAGGGCATCGGCATTCCTGTGTGCCAGACCAGTTTGGATTTCCACCCCAAACCTCTAGCGCTGAAGAGTAAGGAACCGGTGAGTCAACCAGGCGTTCTTTTCCTTGTTGGCCTTCATCCAGGTGAGCAGGGTATGGTCTGTCACCAAGGTAAATTCCATACTGAGCAATTAGTACCACAGAGTCTTAATGGCCCAATTCACTGCAAGACACTCTTTCTCCATGACCACATGGTTTCCTTCCCTCAAAAGGAGCTTGCAGCTGAGATACAGGACAGGATGCTCAACACCTTTAAACACCTGGGAACCAAGTTCCCTCTTAGAGGCATCCATTTGGAGAAAGAATAGCCTCCAAGAATCCAGTACCCTGAGCACTGGATCCTCATAAAGTGCCACCTTTAAGTCAGTGAATGCCTTCATGGACTCTGGAGTCCAGCACAGCATCTTCAGGCCGAGTACAGCATTACCTCAGAAAGCAGGGCTGCTCAGTCCATGAACAGAGGGATGAACCTGCAGTAATAACCAACCAGGCCCAAGAAGAACCTCACCTGAGTTTATGTCCTGGGTACTGGCCAGTCACAGATGGCTTTTACCTAGTAGACCTGAGGACAACTCCCCCCACCCCCCACCATGTAACCCAGATAGTGGGTCAAGGAAAATCCAAACCGGCTTTTTGCTGGGTTTATATGCAAGCCTTCTTTTGCTACAGAGGTGAGTACAGACTGACAGTGTTCCAGGTGACAGTCCCAGTCTTTGCAGAAAATCAGTAGGTCGCTGAAGTGGGCTGAAGCTTAAGAGAGGTGCATTCTCAATAATCGGTCCATTAAACTCTGGAAGGTGGCTGGAGCTCAGTGGAGGCCAAAAGATAACATCTTGTAAAGTTCTATAGATCTAAGGGAGTAAAAAAAATGTCTTGGGCTTGGCATTTGCCAATAGCCTTTGGTTAAATCCAGGCAGGTACTTCACCGTACATGTCCTCTCCTAAAGTTCATCTACCCGGGGTATGTGGTAGGCATCAATCCGTGACTTGTCTTTCAGATTCCTGAAGTTGTTGCAGAAACACAAGTTTCTGTCAGGTTTGGGGACAAGAGCAAGAGGTCTGGACAAGAGGCCTTTACTCTCTTTGACAATGTGCAGATCTAGCATTTTCTGTACCCCCTGACAGACCTCCTTACATTTAGTTTTGGGGACGTGAACGTGGAGAAATCCCTGTGAGCATCTGATATACAGTAGCTGCTTCTATTAAGAAGCTGCTAGTAATTATGTTATAATTGCATGCCCACCTGGCTGTCAGGGTGGTGAGAGCCGAGTTCTGAGAGCCGAGAGCCGAGCCGAGTGGTGAGAGACTTTTTGTCTTAGACCACAGTACACTATGTCAGTTCTCAAAGATTGAGATTGCCTGCTGTTCAGCAAACAAAAAGGGCAAATAAGTTGGTAGACAAATATCAACATCACACAAAAACAGCTAAATCAAAGAATAATATACACGTACAGTTTTTTTCCTTTTTGGCATGTTTATCTGCATGATCTAGGTTAGTTACGCCATGACTTTCTGTCTAATGATGTGCTATGTTACAGAAAAGTACATTTTTCAGCTTTGAATATAGTTAAAAACCAACAGATTTTGCAGCTGACTTCAACAACAAACTATAATCACTGGATGATGGATGATTAGGTTATCAACAGGGACACTTAGTCATTGAAAAAACATCTCCTGTGTTTGTTTTAAATATTTGTGCGCACCCAATTAGAGAAAGGTAAACGATGCTAAGGGACCTTTTTACAAAAGCAATGGCATCGGCAACACCGTGACAAAAACTGAGAAAATAAATAAACAAGATTTGAACATTGATATTCCTCCAGAGGTGCTTTGTCTCCAAGTCCTGAACTTCGAGGGTTCTAAAAAAGTTGCGGTCTGTTGAGAATGCAAAGGGATCATAAGGCCCTTTCCCAACAAAAAAGGAAGGGATTTGTTATTGGCACTTTGTTTGGCACTGTTTTAGAAGAATCTGTTCCAGTTGGAGGCAACTAGAAAAGTGAATAATCAGATTTTTCCAGTGGTTGTCACCGCCTTATAAACAATTCCCCCAGATCTATTAGTGCACAAGTGTGGTGGCAAATAGCATATTTTATGCTTCTTCACATAAAAAATCAACATCTGGAATCATCACATTCAGTGATGAAATACAGGTTATTCTGGTGTCCTTAGTATCTTTCTTGTTTTAAAGCCCCACCAAAGTAATCACATACAATGTCATAATCCTCTATTAAACAATGTGTTTCATAAATAATTAAAGAAGCAAACAGATTACCTCTGTTCATGCACAATAGTAAAACCTAATAAGTAACACAAAGACTATTATCATTACCAAGGTTTAAAACATTACCAAGGTTTATACAGAGCAAATGCAGAACAACAAAGTAAAAAAAAGAGAGAACAATGCTAACTGTTGACAACAATTAATTCTCTCATCTCTTAGGGATCTTGGGCAATTCCTCCAGGACAAATGAGAGACAAATGAGAGGTTAAACACAACTTAAGTTTACAGATGAGACAGGAGCAAGACCAGGGTGATATTTGTCTCTAGATGGTCAGGACCAGAATAGATGCCAGTGAACTTTCAGCATGAAAATGACTCTATACCAGAACAGAAACAGGCACCTGCAACCACACACAAACAACAAGGTCTGAAAGCCTCCATCCTGCTAGCAAAATTAGGTATTTATAAATTGGTGCACATTTGTATGTTTTTAATTTTATTTTATTTGAGGGAAAATAAAATATAATAATATAACTGCTCTAATAAAGGATTCCTAAACATAGTACACCTACGGACCTGTCTTCATAAAAAAACCAAAAGGCTCTGTGTGTGAAAAATGTGTCTGTGAAGTTTAAAGATATAAACGTGGCTGCCCTCTGCCACTTGGCAATTCTACTCAAGGTTCTGAGTTGAGAACCTACTGTAAAAAAATAGAGAATCCTTTCCTGTCTTTTTATCATAGATGCGTGCATTAATGAAGTTTAATGAAGTTTCAGTTGTTTGGAATTTTAAATGTTTCTGAATATTGTTGAAAATCACTTTTCTTTACTGTTTTTTACTGTAGTTTAACCTCTTACATTTTGCCTCTACTAGATCTCGGAAAGGAAGAGCTGTTTTCCATACTGCGAGAAAAGGGTTAGTTAGAGTGTCGGGTGGTTCCTCACCTGGTGGAAGAGGCTGGCTCAGTGGTCTGGCGCTGCATGCGAGTTCGCCGCAGGAAGTGGTCTCTCATGGAGAGCTGGACTTCGGCGGGGATGTCTGGCGAAGTGTGACTGATCTTCACTGCCGCCTCCAGGAAGTTCATGGCACCTGAGTCCTTCAGCTTTTCCGTGGCCATTTTCCCTTTGTGACAGTTTCCTCCTCCGCCGGAGGGGTAGGTGGGGGCCAGAACAGCAGCGCCGGACGACACAGCCTTGTCCCGCCAGGGCACCCAGCACAGCTTCCAAAAGACAAAAACAAAGACTCCCAACAGGGCCAGGCCACACACTATGACCACGACAGCAAGGAGGCCAAACGACAGGTCTGTGGGGTGGGGAGGGATGGAGGGGAGGGGTTGCACAGACAGACATGAAGGTACAAGAGAGACATATGAGAGAAAGAGAGAGAAGCAGAAAATTGTTTTAATTAAACTAATAAACAAATGACAAAAAAGGCAAGACACAGAACATGCTGGAAATGTATATATGAAGTATATACTGTATTTGTCCCCAGGGTTACCAAACTGTCACAGTCTGGTTATTTGTTCTCATTGCATGTGATGCAGAACGAGAAACATGTTTAAAATTCTCGCAAGCAACCGTAGAGCAATCACTGGTTCTAAACTGCTGTTTCTATTACCAGGGCTCTTTAAATACAGAAAAGGTAAGGAGCAAACTGTAAACTTGCTTCACAAAGTATAAATCAAAATCTGATCCCCAATGTGAAAGTGAATTCACCTTTTATTCCCTCACTGTGATGCTCCCCACAACATAATTTAAAAGAGGCCATTTACTTTGTTACCCCTTCACAATTGGCTCTTCATTATACCCTTCCTCTTCTTTTGCAACAATATTTGGCTGGGGTTGACAGGACTTGATACAGGATTTTCAAATTCAGAAAAATGCTGTAAAAAGGCATTCTAAATCAATTTTGGTGAAGAAATTCCAGACTAGGCTAAATTCAACAACATATAACCAATAGAAGGGATAAGAGAATTTAATCTCTTTAGCCTAGAGATTTAAAGGTTTGTGGAGATTTGAACCAGATATTTAAGATCCTGGAAGGAATCGACAAAGTTGTCACAGCCAACTAAGGAAAAAAACACGACTAGAAGACATAAAAGTGTATTAAGTCAAATGGCTTTACTATTACTTGACAATAATTACATTTAATGATAATGCGTTATTTGAATGTTGCGGTACAATGGTTTCATAATCCCTTTCTAACTGCTACACAAGATGTTCTAATCACAGCCATAATGCTTTATAAGGACATGCACAAATAACATATAGTGTGCATAAAAGGTTGTAACCTTTGTTTCAGTGTTGCTATAAATGGTGCTAAAACATGTGGTGACATGTTATGAATTTGTGCATGTCCCTATAAAGCATATGTACCAATAAGCAAAGGCATCAATATGCTGTGTTCCAGATCACCTTTCTGAAGGATTTAAAATATGGAATATATGGATCCATTTGAAGAAAAACAATGTAGGACATCAGAGCTGAGAGGAGACAACAGGTTCAGAAAGTGCTAGTCTGGCCTTACAGTATGTTAGCAATACTCCAGCTCAGGTTCTGCATGGACACACACTCACTGGCTATACAGCCTAGGGCCAAAGTGATGACTTCTGATTTATTCAACTAAAACAATCTCTGTATTCTCATTTTTCTTGCCTGTTTCTTCACAACTTGTATTGCTGATATTTAAAAATCATACCAATTTTGAAAAATGACACTTATGATGTGCATGACAGTTCACAAACCTAAGGGGTGTAATTGCAAGGGCTGGTGGGGGCCAAAGAGCTTTTCCCAGAAAAGGTAGTTATAAATACGTAACTGACTGCTGACTCTTATTATTACATTATTATTATTCAAAAGGTTTAGAAAGGGGTGGAGAGGGAGACAGTCACGCTTCCTGATCTTGGTTTAGTCTACTTAATTGCTTCCAAATTTTTGCCCCAGCTGTCAACCTGTCAGTGGGCAATTATCTTCATTCAACTTGTGAGAATCCGTTCACTACATTGACAGTACTTTGTTACTCTCTTACAAAACTGACAAAAATGTACTGAATTGCAAAAGCTTTCAGTGGGTGCTTGTACTAAATTAAAGTTTTATAAGTAAACACAATGAGACACAAGCTCAGTAGATGTAAACAGAATTCATAGTTAAGAGATATAAATAGAATAATACCTGCAGGAACACTAAATACCCAGAAATGGATAAGGATACTCCTTATAGGGCAGGCTGCAGGCTGCACAGCTATTATTGGTAACTGATGGGGTTGGTTCATTTGTAATAAGACACTAAAAAGTCAGATCTTGCCTTGGATTTTTTAAAGTGCAGAAATATTTTATTTAATCAGCTTAAATAATTTTAATATTTCCAACAATTCATCCTTTCTTAATGGTATTTCAGTAAGATATGTGGTCACATAATCTCAAAACTCTGAATATTAAATTAGACATTATTTTAGTAGCTCAGCTCAGCAACATGAGTCTAAAACATTTAAATGTATTTTTAATTCAGTCTGCAGACCAAGGCCTGATAAATACAGCCCACCTATAAAAGTTAAAGTGAGTGAGCCATTGGGATGTTTTCATAATGAAGAGGCCTTAGAAATAATTAAAAGTGTTTTGAACGCATTAACCATCAACAACGTTTTTTCCCAATGTTTTTTTACTTACTTTTGAGATAGTGTGTGGCAGATGATATGAGTTGTCAGAATGGCATTATGAGTAATGTGTAGTTTCCATAACATATTCTACATAAGACTTGACATTTCTGTCATCATTTTAACATTATTACCATATTTTAAACATCCTTGAAGTAATACCTTAACAGTAACAATACAGAAGGAAAGCAACTGAAAATCTTTACTTTTAAGATAATTATGTATCTGCTCCTCCTACCATTCCAACAGAGGAAACAAACTGTATTTATCATGTGGTCAATCCTTTTTCAAAGAGCAAGAAGAAATATTTCATTCAGGATGAAAAAAACACATCCATGGTTGCATGTGATAATGGGGTATCAAGAGAGCAACTACAGCATCTCTTATCTTTAAGGTAAGACAATGGGCATTTTCTGGAGTGTTTGGTCAGGATAACTGAAGCCCCACAGCTGTCCCTTATCTTATCTTGTCAATTGAAACAGTCACAAAGGCTAGAGTCCAGATGGCAAGGCAATGTCAGTAATATTTACACAATAATCAAACCTTTCTTGGGTGATCATTATGATAATTGTTCTGGGGACAGTACAGTAAAACAGTGATCTCCAAAGCAGTATAAATAAGGTACCACACACTCTTTAAGAAAACAGAATTGGGAAAGGTCGAGAAGATACAGACAAAAAGAAATTGCACCAACATTGTGTTCTCCCATTGGCCAGCAGCCATATCACTCTGCAACTCACAATGGGCAACCCACTGAAGCTAAGCAGGTGTGAGCTTGGTCAGTACCTGGATAGGAGAGCTCCTAGGAAAAACTAAGGTTGCTGCTGGAAGAGGTGTTAGTGGGGCCAGCAGGGGGCGCTCACCCTGCGGTCCATGTGGGTCCTAATGCCCCAGTATAGTGAGGGGGACAGTATACTGTAAACAGGCGCTGTCCTTTGGATGAGACATAAAACCGAGGTCCTGACTCTCCGTGGTCATTAAAAATCCCAGGTCATTAAAAATACTCGAAAAGAGTAGGGGTGTAACCCCAGCGTCCTGGCCAAATTTCCCATTACCTGGCCCTTACCAATCATGGCCTCCTAATAATCCCCATCTATGAATCGGCTTCATTACACTGCTCTCCTCCCCACTGATAACTGATGTCTGTTGAGCGTTCTGGCACACTATGGCTGCAGTCGCATCATCCAGGTGGATACTGCACGTTGGTGGTGGTGGTGGAGGGGAGTCCCCATCACCTGTAAAGCACTTTGAGTGGAGTGTGCAGAAAAGCGCTATATAAGTGTAAGCAATTATTATTATTATTATTATTATTTACTGGCAAGGCTACAGAAACTTTACCTCTTTCAGGTAAAGTGAGCACAGAAGAAATTGATGTCTTGTTCCCAGCACCCAAGACTTTCTATGCTTATAAGTGCTTTGTTGTCTCAGTCTTTAGCATATTTCCTCATAACTTTCAGCTGTTTTCACATGTAGATTCACTACGGTGAAAACATTGTATTTCGTCATGTTGACTATGTCAATAACTTTCAGGATCTTGAATTCTTGTATCAAGTCCCCTCTTAACCTCCTCTAAAAAGATTCTGTTTCTTTAAACCATGCGTATGATATTTCTTTCAGACCTGGAATCATGCTGCTTATGTCATTATACACACCCCAGCTCGTATGCAGGACAATATGTTGAGGGTGGCTGGTGCCTCAATGAGTTAAAATGCTGTTTGAGCTTCTTAAACCTGGTAGGAGCTAAAAAAAATGTGAAGTAAGCCATTAGCCAGCTCAGCCTTCCCAAACACTCACCCCGGCAATATCAATGCACATTGCAAGTGTTTGACTTGCAAATGTGTTTAAATGTAATTACAGTTTCACATGGAAAAAAAGGAAAAACAGACATATAATCTATTTGAAAAGTAACAAGTCCTCTTGGGGAAAACATGGTAATTCTTTAAACTCAGTGGAGACTGTGATATCCTTGGATAAAAAAAAATGTTGCCAGCCTCTTTTCTTCTTATTATTAATGCATTTCCAAGACAATGTACAGAGCGTGAATCCCTTGAGATCAACTGAGAATACTGACAACTACTACATACAAATTACAAAATTCTATAGTTTGTGAAAAGGCAGCACAATTTTCTGTTCTTCCTTTGCGGTAATTTTTCAAGCTTTGTTCGTGTTCCTGACACACAGTAATGAATTTACAAACCACATTCTGAAGAATCGTGCACCTTTGCTTTACAATTTTGCTTAATTTAATTTTAATTTTGCAGTGGTCCTTTCTGTGATTACACTATACCCACATTCATTTCTACAATACAGTAATTGTATTCTTATTATAGGAAATAAGGGCATGTGTTTGTTGTGTATTATATCCAAATGAAAATGATTTGTTTGGACATTTAGTTCCTTAACTAATGCACATAAGCTTCACTATGCAAAACTAAAATTTAAAATGAGAATATAAATATTAATTAAACTTGTTAAAACCCGCACTGAAGGAAAAATAAAAATTAAAAAACTGAAAGCAAACCACAGGAAATCAGTTGCCTAATTTTAGAGATTAAATTTCTGTCTTTGTTAAAAACAATTCTGTAACTTTGTACTATTTATTTTGTACAAACAAGCTTCAGATTCACAAAAGCAATAATAATATAGTAAAT